AGCAAAACAAGAGTTGTTAGCCGAGGTCGATAAAAAATGAGTCCTTTATTTTGCTCTGTTTGCTTCTGTCCGAGGTCATCAGAAAAAAAATACACTACCGTGACTAACTCTGGCGGACACAACAACTTCATTTGGGTTTGTGTAAGTAGTTCACAAATTATATCTGGATATTGAACGTTCAGAAGGAGCTCGATGTTTTCGGAGAAATCACTTTTTCTCAACGCATATCGATCGAAGCCTTAAAAAGTTATTTTTTCGTGGTACCTTGACTTCGTTGGACCCTCTAGACCCACAAAGTAATCCAAATACTGAAGGTTCACATCGGGCACGCTTTCGGAAGAAGCCATTTTGAAAGCTTAGTTATCCCCCAACATGGCGGCCGCGTATGACGTAGAGAATTTTTGTCACGTGGTTCAAAACAAAGAATGGGAAACCTCAAACCGCTAGCAGCCGTTTGCCTTTTGCAGTAAACGCGATGCTAAAGGTCCATAGTATGTGAACTGTTGTCCCTTCTTTTAACTCCACGGTGCCAACGATTACTCCTGCTGTTCTTGTTTTCTCTTTGAACAACAGTAAAACCCATCTTTAGAGACGTTGATTAAGTAAATCACATGCATGACCACGAACAATCAACCGATAAAAAGTTCCTTTCAAAGCTGAGCGCCAAAGGGAGTTTTCATTGTTTCCTATCACCAGTATGATCACGTGGACATTTTGGGAATTGTTATTGGCTATTAAATAGAATCCGCTGGCTTACCTGATTGCAGTCTCAACAGAAGCGCGCCACAGTTGCTGACTTCTGCGACCCGAGCCCTGCATTTGGACGATGTTTTGAAGATGATATAAATAATAATGTGGACTCACTCTATTTAGAAACAATCGAGAAGAATCGAACGTACTACGAGTGAACGATTCGTGGCCAAAAGTTACCGAGGAAACAAAGACTCAAAACCCTGACGCGAGCCCTTCGCTTCTACTGAACTAGCAGCGTTGCCAACAGAGTCAGGTTTGTCTCAACGAAGAAACATTTGTACAAGAGAAGAAAGTGACTATGGTGCATTGGAATTCTCGCCTTCAAATAGATGTGCACTTTCCAAAGCGTTCCCACGTTTATGATTATGTTTATGTTTTATGACTTTGGCACTGATCTGTGGACATGAGACATTTTGCATCACAATCAAAACTTTTACGATTATGGAATCCAAGGGGCCATTCCATTTAAAATCCGCACCCCCCCCCCTATTGAAGGCTTTCCTGTAACACCCCTTCAGAAAAGAAATTTGAGCAACTTCAGAATACCTGTCCACATCATTTACATATGTCGGGAGGCTTTGAAGAATGAGGTATAACACAATAGACGCTATTCTTATTTAATGATAATTTTTTAACCCCCTTTAGAATTTTATGTAGCTATCAAGCAAACCAATTGAACCCCTTCAGAAACTACTCATGAGAATTTCTGTCAAGGGTACTTTATGGCGACCCCTCTAAGAAATATGGTTCAAGCTCCCTAAGAAAAAATATAGCATTGACCCCCTCCCCCTAAGAAATCCCAGGCCTTTAATAGGAGGGTGCATATATTAAATGAAAAGGCCTCTTAGAGGCCTTTGAGGGTAGAAAGCAAATCTGTATTGACAATTAGCAGTTAACAAAACTGACTGCTACTTTATTAAAGAATGTCTATTTATGTTAAGAATTACTATAACTTAGTTTGAATAATAAATTTAATGATAAACATATCTATACATGTACGTTTATCTCTTGGTACATTTTGTATAGCATACCTTTTATTGAACCAAAGTTTTAAGCCTTGAAAATTACTCCTTGTCTTAAAATTTTTACATTCAAGATATTGAGAATTTCTTGGAATTATTTGATTGCCATTCATGGGGCGTGAAATTAATTCTGGTGACTTTCTGAGGAAACTATTAGGTCACGAAAGTAGACTTAAAAGAAATTTATGGGTCATGAAAGTACGCTTTCAAAGAAATTAATGGGTCATGGAATTCATTCTGGCGACTCTCATGGGAAATTAATGGGTTGTGAAAGTAGACTTAAAGAAATAGTCCATTTTACAGTTGTGTGCTTGGTTGCCAAGCCTTTGAATGGGAGTGAGGCTAGGGGTGACCTTGTTATGATACAAACTTGCTGCCTTTCAAATGTTAATCACTTTGTTATCATGCTAAGTTGATACAGGTCTCTATCACAACAAGGTTACCTTCAGCATCACTCTGAATCAAAGGCTTGGCAACTAAGTACACAAATGTAAAATGGCCTATTCATGGGTCATGAAAGAAGAGTACAAGAAATTCATGGTTCATGAAAGTAGACTTAAAGAAATTCATGGGTCATGAAAGTAGAGTAAAAGAAATTAATGGGTCATGAAAGTAGAGTAAAAGAAATTCATGGGTCATGAAAGTAGGCTTTTAAAGAAATTAATGAGTCATGGAATTCATTCTGGTGACTTTCAGGG